CGCGCTCTGGCGTAGTTTACGCAAGCGCCGGAAGTGATCTCTCGCGCGTATACATCACTCATTGTTTATACAGTGTTCATTGTAGGTACGACGGCTAATCCAAATGGTACTTACTTGCGCTTATCCGGATTGTTCAAACCGACTTAAAACTAAAAGATTACGTTCTCTCGCGCGAACTCATTCGGGAGTGGTGACTTTCCACGTATTCCCAACTTCTGAGCCTGCTCGCCTGAAGTTATGGTTGATTGCTCTTCGGCTGGATATCAACACATCCATTAACGTACACTACGCCAGAGCGCGTACACACCTCACGCACCGGAAGCCGTGCGCGCGAACAAAGACAGTTGAACATAGTGGTGTATTAGAGGTAAAAAATGATATAAATACTGTTCGGTTTCTGGCACAAACCGATCGTTTCGTGTCTTAGGACATCAATGTGTCATCACGAGCCGCAGGGTTTAATTTGGATTTGTCTGTGCATGTTTTTTTTACTCTCATAGATTTTGTTACCATTGCCATGCATTATACGACTGATAGACTGCAACGGTTAAAGTTAAAAATCATCATATGTGTTCTACTGAAGAAACAAAGTCACCTACATCTTGGATGCCCTGGGGGTAAGCAGATAAGCATCAAATTTTCATTTTTGGGTGAACTATCCCTTTAATACATTCATATGCAATGAAAGGACATGAAGACATTTACTTATTTATATTTGAAATATATAAAATATAAATATTAAAAGGAAAGACTAAACTTAAAATGAAAAAAAATAAAATAAAACAATAGAAATAGAAATGTTGCCTTGGCAATCAACTTAAATAAAATAAGTTTAAGATTAAGTACTAAAATTACTAAAACTAAATCTGAAAAAGAAGCTAAACAGAATTATTAAAAAAAATAAATAAGCTGCATAAAACACAAAAAATTAGAACAGAACCTTAAAAAAGTCTTTACAGATGGCTGAGGGCCACCAAAGCAAAGCCAAAAACCTCAAGATATGAACTAGTACCTTGTACAACATGATCACCATTCAAACTCACGTCTCACATGGATGCTAGAGAAGAAAATAAGTGAGAAGGTCAAAGGTGGGAAGCTAAAAAACAAGAACTCAATGACCTCCCATTAATTCTATCCTCCTGCACATCGTAATTCCAAAGGGGCCTTGAGAGCACTATCTGAGCATCTACCTATCCAGCACTGCATTAATTTCAACCTCTGCCCTCTGGAAAAGGCTTGGAATCAGTCTTCTAAAGTACTGCCACTGAACTCTCAATCCACATGCTACTCCCACCCATGCTTCCCACGTACGACACTTGCCTTGTAGTTACTAAATCTAAAATCACTGGCTTTGTGAGTTGCATATTGTTGAACTTGTTAGTGGTGCTTGCTAAGGCAACAATCACTGTTATTATTATTGCTCATACTTAGGGTTAAGGGTTTCTTCAAATAAATAATAAATAGGAGATAAAATAGACGTAAAAAAAAAAATGTCATAGACCTACATTCAAAAAAGAACAGAGAATATCTAGAAAAGTAGTGTATCTGGATATTAAAAATGACTTTACATAGATGCACCAACAGAGCAGTTTTATCCGATTATTATCCAAATATTTTATCCATTTAATGTATTTTATTATGTATATATATATATTACACACTGTATGTATAGAGAGAGAGAGATAGATAGATAGATAGATAGAGAGATAGAGAGATATAGATAGATAGAGAGATAGAGAGATATTTCCATTATGGCATATTTGGATCTGTTGTATTTTTATATAAATATTATGTCAATAAATATATCAATGCCCAATAGTCCTAATTTCTAAACCCATTTCCAGGCCTAAAAATTACAAACATTACAACTTTGGAATGTTATAATTACAACTTTGGAATATATATGTGTGTGTGTGTCTTTCTTATGCTCTGCTTTGGACTGATCATTGGAATATCTGTACACTGCACGCAAATCCTGTCCTTTGTGAAAATTACAGCATCGATTCTAAATGCATTATGGGAAAATCTACAAACTAGGCAATCTGAGATGTGACGAGGGACATCCAGCCCTGACAAAGCACACACCCTCAAACAAACAATAGAAAAAGAAAGACAGAAGATACATTCCACAGATAGACCTGAAGATACGACCTGGGCCCGATGATATGTGATATATGACTCATTTACCTTATGACAGGCCGTAAAAGATGGACGTAAAAGAAATAGGAGGGGGTTATGTTTGTGTGTGCGAGTGTTTGTGGTTGCATTGTCACAAACTGGTTTTCTAGTGGAAAAAATCGGCTGCCTTCTTATTATCATGTGGAGACACGAACGGCATTCCAGCCCGCCGAACAGCCAACATGATCACCATTCAAACTCACGTCTCACATGGATGCTAGAGAAGAAAATAAGTGAGAAGGTCAAAGGTGGGAAGCTAAAAAACAAGAACTCAATGACCTCCCATTAATTCTATCCTCCTGCACATCGTAATTCCAAAGGGGCCTTGAGAGCACTATCTGAGCATCTACCTATCCAGCACTGCATTAATTTCAACCTCTGCCCTCTGGAAAAGGCTTGGAATCAGTCTTCTAAAGTACTGCCACTGAACTCTCAATCCACATGCTACTCCCACCCATGCTTCCCACGTACGACACTTGCCTTGTAGTTACTAAATCTAAAATCACCGGCTTTGTGAGTTGCATATTGTTGAACTTGTTAGTGGTGCTTGCTAAGGCAACAATCACTGTTATTATTATTGCTCATACTTAGGGTTAAGGGTTTCTTCAAATAAATAATAAATAGGAGATAAAATAGACGTAAAAAAAAAAATGTCATAGACCTACATTCAAAAAAGAACAGAGAATATCTAGAAAAGTAGTGTATCTGGATATTAAAAATGACTTTACATAGATGCACCAACAGAGCAGTTTTATCCGATTATTATCCAAATATTTTATCCATTTAATGTATTTTATTATGTCATATTTGGATATGTATATATATATATACATACATTACAATGTAGAAATATTATATATGGAAATAGAAATATAGTATAATACTATAACTATATAAAAGATGGACGTAAAAGAAATAGGAGGGGGTTATGTTTGTGTGTGCGAGTGTTTGTGGTTGCATTGTCACAAACTGGTTTTCTAGTGGAAAAAATCGGCTGCCTTCTTATTATCATGTGGAGACACGAACGGCATTCCAGCCCGCCGAACAGCCTACACACTCTTTTATTTGAATCAACTTGACCCTGCAGCGCAGCCTGCCAGCGAACAGTGCACTACGCGAGCTCTCTGTCTTTCTCTCTCTGCGCAGTACACTATGTTCCTGGCCCAAGCTCAAAAATGTGTTCACCCTGCACTGGCTCAAAATGAATGGACGAGTACACAAACTTTTTGCTCTATCAAATCTATCTCACTCCCACTTTTTTTTTTTTTGGTCTAATTTAGAAACGTCATATAGGGGCAGTTCCCAAACCAGCGGGAACAGGACGGAACCGCTTCGTTAACGGAGAGGGATGCCAGGCCACAGAAAAGTGTGTCATCAAGGACGCCCATGTTTGGTTTTTAATTGCAGGAAAATATAAGGAAATGAATTATAGGTAGAAATGCAGGTGTAATTAATTGAGAAATAAAGCAACATGTGATTAATATCTAGATGCATGTCTGTTTTTTTCCTCTCTTGCTGTAAATGGACACAAAACATTTTTCCAGCGAAGGCCGGGCAAGTAAACAATCCGTTTTTTTAAACAAATGGTTTCAATCTTGAATCCAGGAAGCAGGGCTAATTTAAAATACATTTTTAAAAGCAGGCATTGGAATAAGTGCTAAACATTGATGTGATTTGGAAGAGTTCAAGGCTGACAGACGTTTCAGATAGAGATGTTGCAGTATTCTTCATGACACCTTTGGAAAATTAAAAAATGACGTTTCAAAGATGCTCTAGATTGGGGGTCGTCGACTTTTTTTTAATCCAAAAACTGGTCTATTCTAGTTCTGATCAGTGGGGGAAATTCTTCCCATATCTTCTGTTGTTGACGTCAAAGATGTTCAATAAAACTCTATGGTATTTTGGCACAAATTCATCTGTCACTTGGTGAAGCTAGACAAATTATATAGATGTCAACATGGATAGTTTTAATGACATACCGCATTCTCAAAAAGCATGAACTGCATGAGGTGAAAGAAAATATGACTCAAAAATACATCAAATACTGGTTCACTCACAAAGATAAACATAATTTGCACCAACCACAATGTATTCTGTATGGTGAATAACTGACTGCAGAGATTAATATTAATTAATTAATTATTAATGTTGTAATTATTTATAATAATTCGTTTATTTATTTATTCATTTTAATCATAAAAAAAACAATTATTGATATTTAAATAATAATTTTAATATTTTTATTATATTTTATCTTTTAAATAAATATGTTGGTTTTATGAATATTATTATTTATTCAACCTCAGGGTTTAATTTTGAGGGAATGTCTACAATAATCAATTACTGAGTTTGATTGAAATTTAAGGTGCGGCAAAACTAGATGAGAACCACTGATCTAGATTTTTAAGGTTCCTTGACCTAATTAAGGCTAAATGATTCAGAGAACCATTTCTAAAGAGTCTTTCAAGTTTTTTTTTTTTTTTTTTTGATGACCCAAACATTTCCGATGACAAAGAAATCTTTGAGTTCCGGAGTGTTCTCAAATTATAATTTGGATCTGCGCCACATGACCAGATTAAACTACAAGGAAAAACCTTTGAATTTTTCAGCAATGTGTGATGTGATGCCTTCCAACTATCCCAACTATTAATGAGTCAAATCAAAGCTGTGTTTATGCAGTGCTGCATAATACCTCTTCAACATGACAAATTTGCCTGTAACTTACAGTAACCGTGAATTGTACCATTATGACAATAAGATGCATCATGCTGAATTATGATAATCATGGTCAAAGATCACTAGCATAAGACAGATCACTTCATGATGATGTCATTGCTGATGACACAGATGCCGGGAATAACATTCCTGGGATAAAACATCAGGATACATTTGAACTAGATTATTCCAAAATTAAAATTCGGTCATCATTTAATCACCCCCAAGTCATTCCAAAACTGTCTGACTTTCATTCTGCAGAACCCAAAAGACATTCTGAAGAATTCTGCAACTGCTTTTGTCCATACAATGAAAGTCAATGGGATCCAATGATGTTTTGGACGCCATTGACTTTCACTGTATGAACAAGAGCAGTTGCACCATTCTTCTTCTTCTTAAAAAAAAAATATTTCAAAATAGCCAGATGAGGGTGAGTAAATGATGACAGGATTTTTCATTTTTTGAATCCTTTTAAGTGTCTGGCTCATGACCACAATGATGAAAGCAAGACTGAGATCTCAGTACTTCTCCAGTACCTGGATCAACTGAGGACTGATCCTGAAATCACTGTGTTCGCAACCCAACTCATAACCACTTTACTACCATTACAGGTGCTAAGCTAGGCACAGTTATTGAACTACCTAATCGACCTTCAGTGCCTCATCTAATTTACATTGTCACACCAGAGTGCACTACAAAGCATAGGTATATTTCTAATCTAACTCTAGAAACTTCTTTTGCTTTATTTCATTTAGCATGTCTAAGACATCTCAGAAAAGACTTGTACTCCACTTTGACTTTCAGATGCAATATCCATTACATATAATACTATATAATTATAAGATGCATATTAGTGGCAATTGCTAATGCATTGCACTGTCACTTCTAATGGTGAAAACAATCATTTTGAATTGGCATATCAACATATCTGAGTTAGACCAGCATTATTTACCTTTATGCGATTTAAAACTAAAGTCATTACTTAATTTCATGTGTCATGTGGAAAGTAATATGACATGACCATTGAGCCACAATTGATCTTATATTCAGATGACTTGAGTGACATATGTACTCTACAAGATGTCAAATATTAATAAACTAATACCAAGAAAGGTTGCAAATAAATATTCAGGCCAAAGTTCAGTCCTAAATGGAGCAGGGACATTGAGAACCCTGATGAACGCTTAAGATTTCTTGTCTGAGGAATCATTGCGCCCCCTACTGAGAAACAATCTCACCTGATCCAAAATTTTTCTTTTCTTTTTCTTTTTTTAAAAAACGTAAAATAATTGTTTTCTTCTTTTAATGTTAAAATGAAATTACCTTAATACATGTAAAATGATTCTGCCAATGTAAAGATAAAACATACTTACGGCAACAGGATTTAGAAAGTCAGTGTGTTCTTTTGAAGCTGAATTCTCTTCCTCTCACTGTCTGAATCAATAGTGGGCAGGTCATCTGTCCCTGAGGGCAAAAGCAGTAAGCCAGTGCATATTAAACTACAGTTTTGAAGGTCTAGCATTGCATCCAGAGCAAAAGGTTCTGATTGGACGAGAATATTTTTACATCACTCCACATTCCTGATAGCACTTGTCAAGTAATAATTACACTTCACTTGTTGAGTAACATGTACTTTAACACTCTTTAAATGAGAAACATCAGGAATATCGTTATGAGGGAATCAAAAAGATACATTCTTTAATGCTAAATTCTGTTTTACTCAAAATTATTCTGCCATATAAAACACCTGCATAATTAATTTTTTGGGATTTCATCTAATGTTTTACAATTCAGGATGTGTATTTCAAACAGAATGGATCCCCCCCCCAAAAAAATTTTTTTTTTTATTTAATATTTTTATTTACATTTAGAATTGTAATGTTACATTTAATGTTACATTTATAATTTACACATTTATTTAAAAATATATTTTTTTTACACATTTTCCACACACAAATGTAATTTTTAATTATGCATAGATTATAAAAAAAAAAAACTAAAAAAAGTAAGACAGACTGGCCCAAAACGCTGTAATATTTTTAAAAAATATATTTAATAAATTAAATAAATACTATTTAGCAAGGATGAATTAAATTGATCAAAAGTGATAGTAAAGACATTTATAAGGATTTCTATTTCAAAACAAAATCCTGTTCTTTTGAACTTTCTATTCATCAAATAATCCTTTAAAAAAACCGGTATGAGTTTCCACAAAAATATGAAGCAGCACAACTGTTTTCAACATTGATAATAAAAAGAAATGTTTTCTGAGCAGCAAATTAGCATATTAAAATGATTTCTGAAGGATCATGTGACACTGAAGACTGGAGTAATGATGCTGAAAATTCAGCTTTGATCACAGCAATAAATTACATTTTAAACATTAAAAAAAATAGTAATCATATTTAATAAAATTACTGTTTTTACTGTATTTATTGATCAAATATATGCAGCCTTGGCGAACCTAACTTCTTTAAATAACATTAAAAAGCCCAAATATATTCGAATTATAATATTGTTGCATTTATCTCAATCTTAAATAAATCTCTAACTGATTATTAATCTTTGCAATTTTTAGATTGATGAATCTGTTCTATTACCAGTAACAGACGTCAGAGCCACTTTACGTGTTCTTCTCTGATGTTTGCAGCTTCTGAAACACAAACAGATGATGTTCAGAGCATCTGTGTAACAGACAGACAGCATTACGTCCGTCTAGTTTAAGGCACCTGGATGACGGGAGTGTCCAGGAAACTGTCGCCACATTTTCCCCAGGACTTTGTGGCAGGTGTGGACGTTCTGGCAGATGCTTTTCCCACCTTTCTGAAAGTCTTTCACATCGTCTGGGAATAACACACACCTCCCATGTCCAGGTTTCTCTTGCGCTGAAACCACATATGCACAATACATAATTAAAATCAATTGATACAAAATGTAATAATTAATAATTTTTTTTTATATATATTTTTTAATAATTAAGGGTGACCACAAAAGCTCAAATAAAATGGTTTAGTGGTTTTTAACATTTTATGCTCACTACATAATTATTGTACTTACGTTTACAATGCATATTATTTATGCATATTAGTTTTCATGGCATTATTCTAAAATAAGTCAAATATGAGTAGGCGTGTCCATTTTTTTACTTTTTTGATAAATACATAGATGGGTCGCTTTCATTGTTCTCTTTTCTTAGCTTAATTTTTTTATTTATATTTCTAGTTCCACGGAGTTTAAACTATTACTACTCCATGCTGTAATGATGTGTAGAGGATAAAAACACTTCGACTGGACTGACAGTGTATAAAATTATACAAGTGGTTCTCCCAAACATCTGAAACATATTAAAAGTTTGAGAAAGTCCGTTTACAATGGATTTATTGATCGCTTACCTTGCCCATTATGTTAAGCCAGCGTTTTACAACTGTCTCTTTCCTCAAATAGGGATTATTTCCTTATTAAATGATAACTGTTTACATATTGTTTACGTATTGTAGTTCAAACTGCAGCAGCACAGGCAGTTTCTTCTTCGCTTCGTCTCTCCCGCTTTCAGTTCGTGAGGCCGCGCGCTACTGACACCTGGCGGCCAGAGACACAATTTCAAATTTTTTTTTTTAAATAATATTATCGACTAAATAAATAAAATCGTCTGTAATGTATTTGTGAAAGAAAATCATACTCTGTTCTCTGAAGACGTTTATTTACATGAAAAACTAATAAATAAAATACTAACGATAACTGAAAAATAATAAACCGGTTCCTTTTCCATAAAATATGCTAATTTGTGTGATTTGTCAACTATTTTTAAAAGCAATTCAAAGTAAAACTCTTGTCCAAACCCTAAACTTCTCCATACAGCACACTGAAGGAATTTCGATTGCATATTTTCTTTATATTAATGACCAGCGTCAAACATTTGGTGTTACAGAAAAGTATTCGGTGTCTCATATAAGTTACTTAAAACAGTGGTATTCATGATCTCAGAGATATTAAACAAAACATATGTCTACTATATTGGACAAAAATAATAATTTTACCCTAAATCTTAATCATAATAAAAACAAATGATTTATTCCTTTTGAAAGCGAAAGGGTTTTATTAGGGCAAGCCTATCATATCTCCAGAGATTTTAAACAGCAAGTTAAACATACAAAAAACATCTTTTTTTTTTCTTTTTTTTTTTTTATTAAATATGTAAAAAGCAGGTCAAGTTATTCACAAATAAAATGCAAACATGCAACACATTTGGGGAATGCATAAGGGGAGATACTGTGAGGGAAATAAAAAGAAAAACATTGTCTATTTATAATTATTAACAGTACATTTGTTTACATTCCTTTCCATTGTACACAATAATAAATGACATAAGCATTGACCTGTGGAAAATATTAACGAGTATCAGATCACGAGAATGCTGTTTTCTGTTCAGAAGACCTGTGCTTTAGAACGGTTAACAAAAATCTTCAATATGCATTGTTTTATTCAGATGACGCCTGTTTTTTTTACTGTACATATAAAGTAAAACATGTTGAGACGCAGAATACGGATTGCACAGTTCAAATAAAATGCTTCCTATCAAACACTGTGATAAGCTGAGACACATTTAGCCAAAAAAATTAGTATATTTAATCTAATATGGAGACAAATTGAGCATTGTTTCCAAATGAATCACATTGGTTTATATTACCAGTGAGCATTAGGTTATAATGCTAAATTTACCGTGGTAACCAATGGTTAGTCTTCTTGAGGAATCTACCAGGAGGCGATATTTCACAAACTGTATTGGTAGCTCTTTGAGCTACTCTTGTTGTAATATTTTAAAATGTAATGGTTTGATACGTCACATCTGATGTGCGGTGGTTATCATGGGCTTCACACGAACAAGATTCACCATTTATGCTGCTGTCAGATGTTCATAATAGTCATGATGCAATTAAACAGGGCTTCAAAATGAAAAAAAGAGACACGTTTGAATATCTGGCCAATTTGTCTCATTCCTTTATCACGAGAGCAAATGAGAAATAAACCATCATGAGTTGGAGGAAATGAACCCAAAAGCAGTTTTCTGACAGTGCATGTATGTTCAGGTGTCTGTTTGATTGACAGCTGTTCAGTATTCGTCCTGTGTGTCGTCAGGGACGTCCTCCTCCTGAGCCGGAGCCTCATGCTCCTCTCCGCCTGCCTCCTGCACACACACAGTTGTATGCTGAAAAAGTGAAAGTGACGTGACAAGGTGGGAGAGAGCGCTGTACATTCACTCCTCCCACCTACAATCCCTGCCGGTACGAGACTCGAACCCGCAACCTTTGGGTTACGAGTCCGACTCTCTAACCATTAGGCCACGACTTCCCCTGTTAGTTATTTTTGAAGATCTTGTCATATTAGATAACATTAGTCAGTTTGTCTGTTAAGAACCATGAAAAACTGCACTATGCATGAGACAGAAGCACTTGATTTGTAGGGTTATAGCACAAGAAACAAGATCAAAAACACAGCAAAAAAGGGTCTTTTACAGATCATCATAGTTATGGATGTCACAACTAAAGAGTATATCGATTTATGACCATTCAGACGTACATCTATTCAGTACTGAATGACAGTTTGAACTAGAGTAGTAGTACAAAATGTGTTAAAAATAACAGGTAATTTATAGAAAAATAGCTTGTGCAATATAGAGGGAGAAAAATAATCATGAAAAATTATGACCATTTTTTTGGCCTTGGACCAACATAATAAGTGGACTTCAGGGGGAAAATGCTATGCAAGTGTAGAATATGAATATGAAACATAAACAATAAAGGTCTATTTTATTCAAACAAAAAAGAAAGTAATAAATAAAATAAAAAAACATTAAAATTACTAATATTATATGGTGTGATGTTTTGTTAAAGAACTATCTAAAACTATTAATTTAAATAGGTTTGATGTATTAAAAGAACATTAAAATAGTAATAATAATAATAATAATTTGTGAATGGTGTTAAGATTTTATTCAAAGAAAAAAAAAGAGCACAAAATGTAATATATAAATATATATATAAAATATAAATAAATGTGATTTCTTATAAAAATAATAATAATTTGTGTGATGTTTTATTAAAAAGCAGAAAGTAGACAGACAGACAGAGAAAGAAAGAGCTGAAAAAGAACTTGAACTGAAGTACTAACTTCGTCTGCAGAGTACAGCACCTCCATGAGTCTCTCCACGAAGGGCCCGTTGTCCTGGCCCTGCTCCTGACACAACAGCTCCACCTCTCTCAGCTTCCCAAAGTAGAAATCCCGCTCCTTCTCCACTCCTTCTAGTGCTAGCTTTAATGTATTGAGCTGCAGCAGAGGAGAGACGCAAGAGTTACCAATGACATAAAACACTGTCAATGGACTGCTGAAAATACTGACAGTAAAAGATAGTTATTGCTTTAGTAGACATGCTTTTAAACAACATAATTCGTCCTTGAATGTTTACATTTCCTGATGCTGAATTTGATTGGTCAAAAAAATGTGTTTTTTCCAAGTTTAATCGTGTGTATGATCCAAAAAAAATGTCCTTTCTTTGTTTTTTGTGCACAATTAACAATGCACGACTCTTATTTAAAGTGCCCCTATTATGCCATTTTTAAGGTTGCTAATATTGTTTTATGAGTCTTCTAAAACAGGTTTACATGCATGCAAGGTCAAAAAACTCGTTAGTTTTCTCAAAAAATAGATTTAATTTTACCTCATTTCTAAATTATTCGTAAACGACTCGTGCGAAGCAGTTCAAAGAATTAGTCTCTCTAAACCCCTCCTTTCCGTGAGCCCTCACTGCTGTGATTGGTCAGATGGCGCAGTACTTTGTGATTGGTCCAGAGCCGTAGAGAGATTGGCTCTGGATTGGTTTACCGCATACAGCACGTGTCGGAAACGAAACGCCCATTGCCATGACGAAATGACAGCCCTGGAGACTTGTCAATACATAGAAAAGATGGTATCGATTGTACCTTACCAATTTGAACCGGAGTCTGATGATGAAACGGTTGAAGTGGCTGATCAACAAGAGACCGATTCGCGAGCACGACTGGAGCAGGACGTTTCTTAGTGGTAAGTGTCAAGTGTTAACAAGTTTGTGGTAATTATAAGATGTGATCAAACAAATTTACTTTCACAGCGTAGGATACAGCGTCTTCTCGACATGATGTTAAAGGGTTAGTTCACCCAAAAATGAAAATTCTGTCATTAATTACTCACCCTCGTGTTGTTCCAAACCCTTAAGACCTTTGTTCATCTTCGGAACACATGAAGTGGAACCGGCGGCGCCAGCGCTGACCCAGATCCCGTGTAATGACGTCATCACGCCGGATCTGGGTCAGCCCCGCCACACGTTCGCGTCATGATACTGTCGTGAACGCGCGTCCACAAGTGACGCAGTAGAGACGAAAATGTGGAATAAAGTCGTTATTTTTGTTTTCTTTGCGCAAAAGAAGTATTCTCGTAGCTTCGTAAATTTACAGTTGAACCACTGATGTTACACGGACTACTTTGTCGATCATCTTGGTACTTTTCTGGACCTTGAACGTGGTAGTTACCTTGCTGTCTATGGGAGTGTCAGAGAGCCCTCAGATTTCATAAAAAAATATCTTAAATTGAGTTCCGAAGATGAACGAAGGTCTTATACGGGTTTGGAACAACATGAGGGTGAGTAATTAATGACAGAATTTTCATTTTTGGGTGAACTAACCCTTTAACCACACGGAAATTTTACTGTGTTTGTGGGCGGGCAAGTTGTTCGTGAGAACGTAAGCAGACATTATGCAAATGTGTTACTTCGTGACGTAGAGCCTAGGCCTGGGCGATAAAACAGTATCGATATTTATCGACGGTACACCTTCTTCGATAACGATATAAAACATGTTCGATATAGTGCACGATATAGGCACGCACTATGAGCACACACAAACACGAACATGAGTGCTGTGATGAGGAGATTGCGAGTAAAAAAAATGAATATTAGTCTAATTTAAAATAAACATTTGCATTTGAATGGATAAATAGTACAATCTATGGTAAATGTTATTGTTGTGTCTTTGTTTGGACCGAGTGTGTCCTTAATAAAGTTCGATGATGATGATGATGAAATGTGCATCAGGGAGCGTCATCAGTGGAGCAGGAGATGCGGTGATGATGATGTAGAAGCCCACGAGACGCGCAGTTTTTAAAGGCAATCTGTGTGATGGGCAATTCGGCTCTTTGTATTAATTAGCAATGCATAAATACGTGATGCTGTTTTGTTCATAATTGTGTATGCAATTTACGAAATTATATTTGACTTATATGAGTTAATTTAGACTTTTTATAGACGATAAAACATTAGAAATGAAATATTTGTTTAATTTTTATTTTGTGTTTGACTGTTAAAGCAACAACAAAAAAAAAAATTTTAATTTAAAAGAGTTCATTTAAAAATACAGTGGTTAAATGTAATTTTTTTTTTATTGCTCTTTGTTTTAAAAAAAGGTTATAAAAATGTCAATAATTATCGATACCGAATTT